TCAAAATGTGTAGAACCGGGTGCATTTAGGGATTAGAACTATAAGAATTTGCATTTCTAAAATATGTTGTTTGACCATTTCTATATATAAGTGCTTAAAATTTTCCATGCTAGAATTAACGGAAAACAAAAATAAAATTATTGTCATGTTTGAGACATTGGTCAATCAAAACATCCCTGTTGTATGTCCAGATGTATCATTTCTACAACCATCTGCAGGTTCTGGGGATGCGGCATAGTGGTTCAAGGTATTCCTAAGAATCAGTCGTGCTCTACATATTGCACCAGTGCTATAGAGGGAATATATAAGACTATCATATAGGACCTCATGTTAATTTTCTGTGTATTTGGCAGTGGGCATCCAGACTGATGAGATGAACAACACTTTCCCTTAAGCATTTTGTCAATTGAACAGTGATTACAGGGATGCAAAAAAATTCCTCTTATGCAGTAAGAATACTTGCCATTAAATGGCAATTCACAAGCTATGTGTCACTCCGTTCTCCAATGACAGTTGTTAATATTGCTAAGGAAACTGAGAAGAAAAGAAATAATCACTTGCATTTTCAGTTTGCCAACACGGCTCATTTCCGTTCCTTCCTCAAATTTCTGCGAAACAAAAGTGAATCTTCATTTACCAATATTTTTCTGTAACAATCAGTGCAATGTATTTTTTGTGCTGGATTCCGGGAATTCTCTACCAATAATTCTTGGTAACAGATATGCTTCTCAGGTACATCTTCCTCTGTTGCTATTGTGGACACAAGCCAAGACTTTTAAGCTTAGGAGGAGGATGAGGAGCAAATGACATTATCCTCATTTCCTGGTACACAGTATCTAAGGCTAGGCAAGTTATTTGGTTACCAGAGGTAGGAAACCCAACAAGTGCCCTAGCAATAAAAATACAACAATAAATAAAACAACTAATTGTTTGCTCCTCTCCTAAATCTGAAAAGTAACTGCCTGAAGCATCCTTTAAACTCTAACAGCAGGGTCAGTTCCAATCAATATAATTGCACTCAAAGTTTCTCTCTTTTGCATCATAGCTACCAATATAATTGCACTCACAAAGTTTCTCTCTTTTGCATCATAGCTACATGCCAACTCCTTAGACAGAAGATCTAGTAAATCTGTAACTCAGAGAATTTGAAAACAAATTCCAGACAAACTAAAAACAAACCACTACTAAGAGCATACTATATACAGATTGAAATGTGACTTTTTTGTTGATGGGGAAATGGTGGCAATTGAACACTGCATTTAGGAAGTAAATGAACACACGGCGCCTTTTAAGAAGAACTTATTCCTGTGCATGTAAATATTTTGTAAACCAGTCATCTGCGAAGTCCTTTCACATCACCAGAAGTCATAGGAAGCAGGATACTGTATGGTAAAGTTCGCCTCTTTACTTTGTGGTAGGTTATAGGCTACATTCACACTTTGGTAAACAGATGGCTACTGTATCTTCATCTAGTATGTTTGTTTTGTAATATTCAGATCTAGCATTTGCTAATAGTAAATAGTTGAAGTCCTGTTGTGTAATGAAAGTAAAGTTGGAAGTTTCAGTCTGTTCCTCATTGGTAAATAAGGGAGCCCCTGCTGTGATTCATGAGGGCAAGAGGTCTTTATTTACCAGTGAGAAATGGACTGAAATTTATGATTTTGCTTAGGTTGCACAGAGGGATTTCAGCTGATGTCTATTAGTATGTCTAACAATGTGAACTGAATAACTGAAAACACAGGCAGTTTATGCTCTGTGTGAGGGAGGGGCAAATAACCTGAAACTGTATTTCCTCAGACCACAGGCTGCCCATGCCTGGGATACAAGCTGAAGAAACTTTCTCATGTTAAGTTACAGCGTAAAGCATTAAACTTCTACACAAAATTCTAATTGTGGTTTACATGTGCATAATGGAGTTTTTGTAGTACATTTTCTTCCCTCTGTTGCATTTCCCTTTGCACAGTGGGTCCCAGGACTGCTTGCACAACTACTTTGCCTTCCCTACACGTGTGACACAAAGCCTGCCAGCACGGGAGACATGCTTACGGGATTGCCTGTAAGAGTTTGGAAAAAACAAAGAAAAAGGCCCCAAAGAAAATCACAGCACTATTCTGCAGGCAGACAAGCTTTACAGCCTTCTTGCTGTGGCTTGATGGAATCCATGTACCCAGTGGCAAGACAAAAAGGGTTCTGTTTTGTATTGAGGTCAGGAATTTTTTTAAATGAGGTAATGACATGTTGCAAAAGACAAGTGGGTTACTGAACCCTTTGCATGGCTGATACAGCCCATTGTGGTGCAAGGAGCAATCATCCATTCAAGCAAGGCCCTTGGGAATGAATTTAAATTCGGGATTGGGGAGCAACCTCGATCTCAAATTTCCACAGGATGCTTTGCAGCAGTAGCCCCTGCTGAATGCAGTAGGAAAGAGTAATGATGTTACTCAATGAGAAAGGCAAATGCAGGGGGCCCAACACAATGGTTCTGTGCAGATCTGCATTTGGAAACCAGGCTCGCATTCCAAAAAGGGTATACTGTACTAGAAGTTTCAGTTTTTGCTATAAAGATGTATTGGAATGTCACAATCAGTGAAGCTGCTATCTCTGATACAGCTAACTGTTATGGAGTCCAGAAGTTCTTGTCTCTTTTAGAATATACGGTAACCATATTTCAGACACAGTTTGCATAGGCTCTTGAGGTGGCAGAATCTAACCAGTGAACTTGAAGTTTCTTGGCACACATTTGTGATTGAGGCATATTGTGCAAGGATACTGCATTCATTCAACACTCCGGTCTATTGCCTTGGGTTTGACTAATGCAACCCTAAACACAAAGCAGTGTTTTAGAGGGCAGGAACCACACAGCTAGATGACTAATCCCTCATTGTGTGGCCTGCCTTGTTAGTCTAAGCGTGGACCATTAGAAAATTCCTGAAGTAACCCACACACATCCCAGAGATACAGCTGGAAAATGGAATAGGCAGGGATGGGAAACACATTTTGTTGGCCTACACCTCCCCCCCCCCCGAGTTCTAGCTAGCATATCCAATAAATAGGGAGGGCGGATGGAGCTGTAGCAATATCTGGAGGGTTACACGTTGACCACCCGTGACTTAAAAGCTTTGCATTCTCAACATTTTGTTGTGATCGACATGCCTAAAACCTTCATGATATGAGAGAAAACTAGTGCCATATAGCTCTCTTGTAAGAAGGAGTGTTGTTCGTCCGAGTTCTAGCTAGCATATCCAATAAATAGGGAGGGCGGATGGAGCTGTAGCAATATCTGGAGGGTTACACGTTGACCACCCGTGACTTAAAAGCTTTGCATTCTCAACATTTTGTTGTGATCGACATGCCTAAAACCTTCATGATATGAGAGAAAACTAGTGCCATATAGCTCTCTTGTAAGAAGGAGTGTTGTTCGTCTCATCAATACTGGCTTTTTTAATAATCAGAAAGACTGAATTTTCAAGGAGCAGATAGCCAAGTGAACACGGGGCTAATATAACATCAATGGGTGCTGTGGAGCAAGGGTGAGGAAGCCATGGTGGCTCAAAGTGCTCTTTCAGCATTTCAGCATTCAAAAACCAGAGGCTTCACTAAATCTGGACAGTAAACCCCATTTTGAATGATAAGCAATGCATAGCATAAATCGTATGTTGACCACAACTATTACTTATATTACTTCAGGAGCAGACGACCACGAGCACATTCTATGCTTGCTGCATTTATAGTCCTAGATTCATTTAAAGTATGTGAGTGCACAGGTAAGAGATAAACTCTTACTTCTATAAGGAATGAATAAAAGGCATAAAAATAGTGAAATGGGTGAGCAGGTAAATGGAGACCCCTGGGAACAGAGCCGAGATCCTTCTAATGCTATTAGGGCAGATGAGGCTCTACTTCTACCTCCGGCGCAGGGGTGATATCTTCCCTCAATGCCAGTTGCCAGAACTTTCTGAAATATATGCCAAGTGACTCTAAATAGGCATTTGTGTGAAGAAGAGGTACTTCCACCAGAAGCGGCTTGCAAATTGGGTGAAATGTATAGACAGCTGGAAGATAAACAGTTCATTAAGGCCGACCTTAATGATGAATCCAAGTCTGTCCTCAACAGCAAGATGTGCATTTACTGTGGGTCGGTAAGATAGTAAAGGGTGTTCCCTGGACTTCTTCATTTTGGTGCATGCAGCCAACTGAGAAAATAATGGTAACGAAGGAAAACAAGTTGCTTGTAAGGAATTCACTCAAACATTAACAGGCAATAAAGGAAGAGACTCATTGGAGTTGAGGTCTGATTAACGGGCATCTGCTTTCTTCCTGACTGAACTATTCCTCAATCAGAGAGTACCTTTCCTTCTCACTCCAGTTCCCGAAGATGCATGTTGGATGGTTCCTGGAATGAGCACTGCCTTCTTCAGCTGATGTAGCAAAGCGCATCTAACAAGCTGTCCTTCACGGGTGGGTCCTGATGACAGGTAAGGACACATAAGGCTACAGCATTGTTAGGAACCCTCAAGCGCCCTGTCAGTCATTCACACTAGCCTGACCCTGATTGCTGCTCCAGGAGGCAGTAGGTCCATGCGTTCCAACCTTCTCTCTCCCATTGCCCACCCATAATGAAGCAGAAACAGAGTACGTTTCTCCAGGTTGTTCACATTGCTGCTGTCATTGTTCCTGAGTTTAAAATCAGAGAGAAAAAGAGTCCCTGTATTAAGAAAGCCCATCTTTCCAAATTGACCATTTTATTGTCCTTGTCCTCTTAAACCTCTCAACGCATTTCTTCTTCTGCTCTGTCCCCTTTATTATTGAAGACTTTCATGGGAAGTTGACATTTATGTTCAAAATAACCCCCCTGCACAGCAGGGATAGATTGTTCATAGTCACTTTGGTTCCTTGCCTGACATATCTTTACTCAGTCTGCTAAATTCGGTTCCTTGCTGATTTTTTAAAAACTTAAACAATTAAAAAAAAAAAGAATCCTTGTGTACACACGGATGGGATATGCTTCTCCCCCTTATAGAGTTTAATTAAGTGCAGCATATATTTGAGCTTGAGACAGGAACTGTCAAGTAACAGATCTTCAATAATAATGGCTTTAAACAACATCATGGTGGGGAGTGGTCTCGGCTACAGGGTGTTGCTTTCTTTTAAAATGGTTGTAAACAGTGCTCTCTTCTTTGTGGTTTGGAAGCATTGGCCCTTCTGAGGACTTATCTGCGTGGTGAATCATTCTAGAAAACAAGAGATAAACATTACAGGTGAAAGATGGCTTAAATTGACTAAATGACTGATCTGTTCCAAACTGCATACCTCCTCAGGACAAGCTATAGAGAGGTTACCTGTTGCTCAAAAGGATTTAGCACTAAAACTAAAATAATGTTTATTGCCTTTTGTTTTCTGGTCCTCACATAAATAAGAACGTAGCGGGTATCAGTGGGAGCATAGGAAGAGCTGTGCTTAATCAGATGACACTTCACCATGTGTATCATTCTCTTCCTACCTCGGGCCAATTTGGTGCCCTTGGAAAGACCATGAGCAGAACATGAGGCAGCAGCCACTTCCTAGCCATGTTTCCAAACAACTAATATCCAGAACTAGAAACCCTTTGACACTAGATTTAATCAACAGTCATCGTAACTAGTAGTTGTCCCTCCCAATCTATAAGGTTAGATTCATCCTACACAAATCTATATAATTATAATTTGCATAATTCGTGTTGAAAGCATTCCAGTCTGGCAGCCATTGCTGTATCTTCTGGCAGTGAATCTAGTACTTTATCTGCGCGCTCTATTAGGAAATATTTCTTTTTATATGTCTTCAGTATCTTACTCCTTATGGCTGATGAATTGAGGGTCATGTTATTTCTTCATGCAATGGTTGGGGACACCCCTCCCTTTCTTCAGTCTATTAGTTACCTGTGTCTCCCATTGTTAAGCTTCACTGGATTGTCCTGGGTTCGAATATAATCCAGACAAGTATGTTTGATCTGTGTTCTTGCTGAAACTAGTCAGTATATGCTGGTATTTAAATAACAGATCAATGCGTATACACAAGCCAAGAGTCTCTTACAAGCAGAAATGTCCTTGTACAGGATATGAAACGGGTTCATTGAAACATGGTTAGTGCACTTACCAGTCACCTTTCATCTTACCAAATTGTCATTTAAGTGTGTCTATAGCTTTCATAAATTATTGCATCTTTGTCAAAGAGAGGATGAGAAAATAAGTTACCCTTTCTCCAGGTAGATAATTGTATCTGCCACTGAGATCAGGGAGTAGCTGGTACTAACAAGTACATTTCATTTCTCTTTTTTTGGCTCACCAGTTACATCACTGATTACAAGTTCATGCCTCACTTGGTGGGAAATAACCAGTGCTTCCATGGAAATATTTTGCAATAAAGCATGAATGGGAACTTTTTCTAGCATCTCTCTTTGACCTCCTTTGCTTTTCCTCAGTCCCATGTGGCTCTGTAATCCTTGTTCTGGCTTCTCTTTTATCTAGCCTCTGTAACTGCAGAAACTGCCCGCCCCCACAATCTACTATAATGACAGTACTTACATGCATTTACATCTCTCCTTGCCCTCTTCTTCCTCCAAACCTTTGTTTTGTCTTTTATAGCTCTTCCTCCTGCCTAGTAGTCTCCTCCTATCTTCTTCCAACCTCCTCTTCTCTCTTGCACATCAATTCCTCTGTTTGCCCCTCCCCAAGCAGTTCTAGGTCATATCAGCCCCCACAGCTGTCTCTCTGTGGTTCTGACTCATCATACTACAATATGACACCGTATGATATGTCACCAGTTACCCAGGAGAGCTGACAAAGGAATCAAGTGTTACCGGACTTGCTTTATCTTTCATTGGAAGACATCAATCCTTCTGTTTAGAAGTTGTTAATATTTTCCCAATTTGGCTGTTCATTCGGAGAAAATCATTCATAAACCTCTTATGCTCTAAATATGTGCAGATAAGCCAAAACATGGCAGCTGTGTTTTATCCTGCACCTTTAACCAGTCACTTCAAATAAAGGCTTCTTTTTGAGATTCTTGGTTACTAACAGCTGGTGTGAAGGAAAGTGCAGCATAAGCAAAAAATGTGTGTGGTTGTTTAGAGCACTGGTTCTTAACCTTGGGTTACTCAGGAGTTTTGGACTGCAACTCCCAGAAGCCTTCACCACCAACTGTGCTGGCTGGTGTTTCTGGGAGCTGCAGTTCAAAAACATCCGAGTAACAAAGGTTAAGAACCACTGGTTTAGAGAACAGAAGCTAGATTCTTGGTGTGACTCTAGCAAAAATGGCTTGGGGAGTTTTATACTAGCTACACAACACCCACTGCTGGGCTAGAACTCCATATACATCCTGAAAAACAGAAACGTTCCACCAGTGTGTCCTGTTACATGCATGTTACTTTTTTTTCTGTGTCCGCCGAAGATATCTTGAATTTACACCCACAAACCAATTAATATGCATTTTACCTCAAGTACATTGCCGCAGTCTCCTGTGGGAAACTCAAGTTGGCCTATATAAAATGTGAGAAAAAAATAGCTGTTGGTGAAGGGGATGAAGGTTGCTTAATTTATCGTCATTCTTCTCCACCACTCCTTGGGTTCAGTTATTCACTAAAATGTGCCGCTTTGGATATGAACTCAGAAAAAAAAGTCTCAGCTCTCCAACTTTTTAAGCAAAGATAAAGGAATTATATTCTTACCTTCCAAGAGGCACATTGACATCAAGGCCAAAGAATAAAGGCAAGAGAGAAGAACAAGAACAGGAAAAGAAACTGCAGAAGAAGAAGAAGAGAAAGGGTAAATAGTTCATAGAATTATAGACTAATGGAGTTGGAAGGAGCCTTTAAGGCCACCAAATCCACCCCCCTGCTCTTTACAGGAATAAAAAATCAAAGGATATCTGCCAGGTAGTTGTCTAAGTTCCTCATGAATGCCTCCAACACTGAAGCCCTCACTACCTCCTGAGATAACTAGTTCCATTGTTGTACTGCTGTAACTGTTAGGACATTGTAGAGAGCCACACAGTTAGGCCAAAGATTCAAGCTGCAATCCATGCTTACCTTGGAGTAAGTCCCATTGAAATCAGTGGGGCTTACCTCTGAATAAATATGCACTGTAAAATAATTACAAATCCAGCAGACTTTTTATCTAGTACAATGGCATCACACTAGTTAATTTCATTAACATTATTACACATTGTATTACCACTGAGACCAAAAGCCTACACAGATCTTCAGCAGTTGAAGATCTGGTCTTATCAAGAAGTCTGTGTGTTTGTATAAATTCTGATATGCACATGTAGAACTCTGTACTCATTTTATGGGAAGGACCCAGTCACAGTGCACAAGTTTTCTGATATTTTTCCTTCCTTCAGTGCACTGGGTAGTTAGGTTTAGATCATAATACTGAGTTAGGACTTTCATTTGTACAGTCCACTTTGGAGGGAAAAATGTAGTGGAAGAATGAGGATGCAGAAATAATCTTTAAAACAGGGATAACCTTTCCATTACGAATATAGTGCTTAACCTAAATAGAAAATCTTTCATGTTGAGTCCCTTCACTAAAACAATTTCCAGCATGATGGCATAAGTAGACTATGCCACTATTTTGCTTTTATGTGGAGATTAAAGGCTGAATAACTTTTTCAGTTAAAATCTCTTTGCTACTAAGAAAGGAATTACAGTGGTGCCTCGCTTAACTATGTTAATTAGTTCCAGCGAAAGTAGAACGAAAACATCGCAAAGTGGAAAAAAAGCCCATTGAAACGCATTAAAACCGGGTTAATGCGTTCCAGTGGGCTAAAAACTTACTGTCCAGTGAAGATCCTCCATACGGCAGCCATTTTCGGTGCCTGTATAGTGAGGAATCCGTCCCTAAGCACAGCGGGAAGCCATTTTGAGCACCTGGTGGCCATTTTGAAAACCTGACAATCAGCTGTTTTGATCGTCGTAATGCGAAGAATCAGTTCCCGAAACAGGGAACCGATCATTGCACAGCGAAATTCCCCCATTTAAAACATCGTTTTGCAATCGCAATTGCAATCACAAAAACATTGTTGTGAAGCGGATTTGTTGTAATGCAGGGTAATCGTTAAGCGGGGCACAACTGTACTTGCTGTTCATTTAGCAATGAGTCAACACTAGGAAAAAACTATTGAGATACAAAAGGGCAGAATTTAATTAAAATTAAAGAGAAATACCATCTATATAGTACATAAGCAAGATTTCTCAAATCTAGATCACAAGCTAATCTCAGGCCAATGCCTTTTATTTTATTATTCTCAACATGGTACAATAGTATTTCATATCCATTGGAACAGGAGTACGGAACTTTGATTTATCTGGAGACCAAGTGGCTAGAAGCCTACTTCCATGTTTTAAAAACCAGTATCTGTAGGCATCAAACAGTGTGTTGAGTGCCACTCCTGAAGATTTCTGGAAACTGCAGTTCAGTTTTCTTATTACAAGAGGCAGCTTTTAGGACTGTAAAAGCAGCGTTCAGTGGCTGCATGTGGCACCAGAGCCACACTTTGTCCACCCCTGCAGTACAGCTTTTGACTCAGACTGAAGGTTGGAATAGGTGGGAAATTTTCTGAAATGGTAGCGCCCCCCCCATCATTCACTTTTAAAAATCTGATGGGAATTGCTATTACTGGGCATTGTTCTTCAAAGTTCCTTCAGAAGATGGAAGAGTGAAAGCAAAGAAGCATTTATTTCTTCTGCACTCTTTCAGATGTGGCATCTTGAAGCCAGGTCAGAATGAATAAGAAGCAATAAGCTTGCTACCCTTACTAATGTAAGCCGCCCCGAGTAGACATGGTCTAGACGGGCGGGGTATAACTACAAATAAATAAATAAATAAATAAGTCTTCTGGGTAAAGAAAAAGTTGCGGAAGGACAATGGCATCCAACCAGCAATGGTGAGGATGAAAACTCCTGTGGACCAGTGGGACAGATTTTTTGCTGCTTATATTTCCACCCCCTCATAAATTTCACAGATGCCTCCCTATTCTGTAAACGGAGAAAGAAGCATTTCAGCTCAACTCTAACAATAACCACTGATCAGGCAAGGTTTACAGGGAAACACCTGAAAAAGTCACTGAACCTGTCAAGCTTTTTTCTTTAAAAAAGCAAAATGGCAGAAGGGTTAACTCCCACCTCGTACAATGGTAAGACTAGTTGGAGATTATAACATTTTCAAAAAGCCAATCTCAGAAATACAGAAATAGGTAAATCAACCAACCTTTTCTTCTAAATCCTTGATCTGTCTCTTCTGGATGTCAGTCTTATCTTCCAAATCTCGAATCCTCTAGAAGTTAAACAAATAAACACAGAAAAACCCCTTAGACTGGATGTATTTTGGCTGAAGAAAATTAATTTACCCTTTCCAAACCAAAAATGTCAAGATACGAAATGCATTTGTGATTATGGAGGAAATGTAAATGCAAGTTTGATTTCCTTTGACTTCTGTTGAGTGAGGTTAAGTATGTCCTTATTTCCAAATCAGAGTAAACATCAATAACCAAGATCCAGAGCTATGTATTGATATCAAATGCTATTGAGATAGGAACTCCTTGCCCTCTTCCTCATTTTGTGGACCTCCATGGTGCCAAAAGATCCACTCCAGAAGACTTTCCAGGATTCTTGAATGTACTTGGGGTCCTGCAGGAATGTTGTAAGGTCATTGATTCTGGCATAAGCAGTGGCATCCAGCTAAAGTACCTCATTGGATTCTCACTGGTGGGACTTTTTAACTGCTCCGCTTTGCCAGGATTGCAAATGTTATTTTTCAAGGCAAACACAGTACTCTGTCCACGCAACAGTGATAAGAAAGTCTGCTCTTACACAATAAATAAATAGAAAACGGAAACTCACCTGATGTGCCTGCTGAAGCAACTCCATTCTCTCCTGTAGGATTTGGCAGTCATATTCTCTGCTTTTTCTTAGCATCTGCCGTCTTAATTTTTCTACTGCGGTCCTAAGTTCTTCTTGCTGTTTCTCACTGAGCAGTTCTCCAAACTTTATTACTGTTTCTTGCTGCAAAGCATTATATAAGGTGGCTTCAAGCTCCTGGATTCTCTAAGCCACGAAACAATAAAATTTAGTTAGGGGGATGTCACCCCATACAAAACTGTGCTTTTGATCCATATTTTAAAGTTATCAAGTAGAAGAGCTCAGACACCCAGAGATGATGAGGTAAAAGGAAAATGAAAAGTCTGTCTTATGCCTGTGACTAAATATTGGTGAAAACCTACCTACTATTCCTCTTTGATTTTCAAAATATTTGCCTATGTGTCTTCTCTTTACTTTTCTGTCTTATCTTTTACCCCCGGGTTTTTAGACTTCAAATGCTGACAACCCCTTTTAGATTTTCCCATTCACATTATTGCACTGCACATAGGAATATGTGCTGCTGTTTACTGAACAGGAAGCTTTGTGCTTGAGGGAGCTCACATATACAACACACATACAAAGTTGCATCTCCCCACTACAGAAAGAAATGCGGAGTGAGTTCTTCTTTGTATTCCCTTTCTTTTTAAAGTTTTAATTTTTAAGTTGTTGAATTTGATTATTGTTTAATTTAAATGTGTATTTTTATGTTATGGTTTGGATTAATTTTGTTAAACTTGTTACCATTGTATTGTTTACTTTTATTAATTTGGTATATTTATGGTCTTTTCTTTTTATTTTCTTTTGTTTGAAATGGAGGGGAAGGCTTGCCCCCCCCCAAGCGGGGGTCCTTTGAATATCCGAGTGATTACAGGTAGAGGAAGGTATGGTGATGGCACAGTCCATGGAGGGGAAGGCTTGCCCCCCCCAGCGGGGGTCCTTTGAATATCCGAGTGAGGAAGGTATGGCGATGGCACAGTTCCTACTCATTTCAGAAGAACGGTGAACAGATGTTTGAAGGCTGTTCACTGTTCTGGCACTGTGACCAACCATCAGTCGCAAGGTAGTCAGATCAGCTGTCCCTCCACTCTAAATCTGGTGCTTTTGAATGCCAGGTCTGTATTCAACAAATCCCAGATTATCCAAGACCTTATTCTGGAGGATGATGCAGACCTGGCATGCATAACCAAAACTTGAATTGGGGGGGGGGAGGGAGTGTTCCATTGACTCTTGCCTGTCATCTCGGTTATGCAGTCCAGCACCAGGGTAGACTGGACGGGCGGAGGGGAGTAGCCATTGCTTATAGAAACACTCTGGAGGTTGTTAGGCGCTCTACAGTGTTGAAGCCAGGTCTGGCGGCCCTCCACGTGTCGATTGGGGCCAGGGATGGTATTGGGATCTTTCTGAGTTACTGTGCTCCCTGCGACCCAGCCGTTTCCTTACCGGAGCTGGCGGACTTTGTCTCCGTGGTACTGTTGGAATTCCCTAGGCTTCTGGTCTTGGGTGATTTAAACATCCATGTGGAGGCAGAGATTTCTTGTCTGGCTCTTGAGTTCTTGGAAACCATGGCTTCCTTGGAAATGTCCCTACATGTTAACGGTCCCACCCACGTGGGTGGTCACACGCTAGACCTGGTGTTCTCCACTGAGTGGAGTGAGTGTGATCTCATCACCTAATAAAATGTAGCCTTTCAGTGGCTGTCCCTCCCCGCAGGGAGCAAAGACCTATTTTAATGGTCCGCCCTCTAAAGTTACGGATCCTATAGGATTCCAGGAACCCATGAGAGAGATTCTGGCTGATCTGACTGGCGCTTGTGTCAAGGCTCTGGTTGATGGCTGGCTAGCTGCTGCCACCAGGACTGTTGACACAATTGCTCCTAAATGTCCTCTCCATTGGAGAGCTCAGCCAGCGCCCTGGTTTAACCAGAAGCTGCGCACTATGAAACAAAACAGGAGAAAGCTAGAGTGAAATTGGAGAGGGGACCCAACGGAACATAATCGGAAAGCTGTCAGGATCGCAACTAACCACTACCTTACTAAGGTGAGGGTTGCCAGTCGAGCTCACTTCGCTGTCTGGATAAGCGAAGCTTCAAATCAGCAGGCGGAACTTTTCCGTATAGTTCACGATCTATCCGGAATTGGTCTGGGTGATGGGCCTTCTACTAGTATTTCACCTGACCAATTTGCAGCATTTTAAAAATCTAAAGTAGAGGCCATCTGCCAGGAGCTCTCTCCCTTTTTGAACACAGTATATCGAGCAGAGACGTCCAGCGCTCCACCTTGCCCGATGAGACTCAGATCTCTTTCAGCCTGTGACACCAGATATGGTGGACAAAGCGCTTGATCGCTGCCAGGCTACCACTTCCTCCCTTGGCCCTTGCCTGGCCTGGCTAATCAAAGCAGCCAGGCCTACAACAGCCAAATGGGCCATGGCAATAATTAATGGGTTTCTCCAGGATGGCAAGGTTCCCCTTGCCCTCAAGGAGACAATCATTAGGTCCATATGGAAGAAACCAAGTTTGGTGGCAGACAACATTGGCAATTATAGGCCCGTCGCCAATGTTTCTTTCCTCAGCAAAGTGGTAGAGGAGGTGGTGGCTGACCAGCTCCAGGCTCTTTTGGATGAAGCCAATGCCCTGGATCCAATCCAGTTGGGCTTCAGCTCCGCCAGAGTATGGAAATGGCACTGTTACACTGTTTGATGATCTGTCGAGGGAGGCTGACAGAGGCAAAATGTCTTTGTTGGTCCTCCTCGCTATCTCAGCCGCCTTCGATACCGTTGACCATGGTATCCTCCTGGGGAGACTCTCCGAGCTGGGGATCGGTGGTCTGGCGTTTGCTTGGCTCTGCTTCTTCTTGGAGGACGATCCTCAGAGAGTACAGCTTGGGGAGAGTGTTTCAGCCCTGTGGAGACTCAATTGTGGAGTTCCTCAGGGCTCGATTATCTCCCCAATGCCGTTTAATATCTACATGAGGCCGTTGGGCGGGGTCATCAGGGGGTGTGGGGCTTTGTGCCATCATTACGCTGATCACACCCAGTTCTACATCTCCTTTTCTCCAACCACAGTGGATGCCATTCCTTCCCTTCAGCGCTGCCTGGAGGCTGTACTGCAGTGGATGCAGGAGAATGGACTGAGGCTGAACCTGGGCAAGACAGAGGTCCTGAGGGTGGGTGTCCCCTCTATTGGTGGTTTGGGAAACTCCCTCTCTTTTGGGGGAGTGACTCTCATCATGAAGAGTGAGGTTCGCAGCTTGGGGGTCCATCTGGATCTGGCGCTCACCATGGAAACACAGGTGGCGTCTGTGGTCCGCTCTGCTGATGTCCATCTGTGGTGGATTGCCCAGCTGCGTCCCTATCTTGATGTTGGGGCACTCACCACTCTGGTCCATGCGCTTGTAATCTCGAGGTCAGACTACTATAATGCACTCTACATGGGGCTACCTTTGAGATTGATGTGGAAGCTTCAAATGGTGCAGAATGTGGTGGCCAGACTTCTCAGTGGGATGAGAAAATATCAGCATATTTCCCCCACTCTGGCTGCCTTGCATTGACTGCTCATTCGTTTCCGCATTGATTTCAAAGTGTTAATGATGACATATAAAGCCCTAAACTAGGACCTCAATATCTAGCGGAACACCTCCTCCCAGCTAGATCTACCCAAATCACTCATTCTAGCCAGGAAGGGTGGCTGAGGGGCCTATTGCCAAGGGAGGCCTGGAGAGAAGGAACAAGAAACCAGCCCTTCTCGGCAGTGGCCCCTCGCCTTTGGAACAGTCTGCCCCCCAGAGATTTGTCTGGCTCATTTGCTGGGTATTTTTAAGAGCAAACTTAAGACTTGGCTCTTTAGTCAGGTTTTCCATCCTGTCATCACTTGACCCATTGTGAACTATATTACTATTGTTGTTTTTTATTTTATTATATTGTTTTTATTCTATTTTTTTATTGTTAGCCACCCAGGGTAGTC